TTGGAGCCAGTGCAGCGTAGGGCCACAAGGTTGGTGGCCGGTTTGCAGGGGATGGGGTATGAGGCGAGACTGAGGGAACTGGGTCTCTTCAGCCTGGAGAAGAGGAGACTCAGAGGGGATATGCTGGCGACATACAGGTATGTGAGGGGATGTCACATGGAGATGGGTAAAGACCTGTTCTCCCCTGCAGAAGAAGGCAGGACGCACTCCAACGGAGCAAAGCTCAGGGAACCAAGGTTCCATTTGGATGCCAGGAAGCACTTCCTGACAGTCAGGACCCCGAGGGTGTGGAATGGGCTTCCACGAGAGGTCATTGAGGCCCCATCAGTGCGGGTGTTCAAGGATAGGCTGGACATGCACATGGTGGGCATGTCGTGAGCGGAGCCGGCTGGTGTCAGAGGTCAGACTAGATGGCCTGGGAGACCCTTTCTGACTCGCTCTGTTGCTATGTTATACTGGCATGGAAAGGCTTTGAATGTGTTTTGATAATGAGCAGAATAAGGGGAAAACTTTGCTTTGGTCTCTGTCATTCTTCACTATGGAGAACAGGGGTGTAGAACTCTCTGCCTGCTTCTGAGCTCAGGAAGGGGAAGGGAAATAAGGAAAGGAGACAGGCCTTGAGATGGGCTGCTAGACTTAGGAGACCAATGTGAACCTCATGAGGTTCCATTAAGCTCCCTGACAGCCACTTGCCTATCTTGGACCCAAAGCTTGCAATAGGGATCAGTGTTCTAAGAGCCTTCCGAAGGGAACTGAACATCCAGAAGGAACAATAAGGGTGCAGAGGGGCCCTATATAGGCATTCTCTCAGATGTGTGAGAAATTGAAGTGGGAAGGACTACAAGGCTGTGTATACTGGTCCTGCCCCATGAACATTAGCCCCACACCCTCAATTCCCAACTTTGCCAGATTGAGCAAGCAGAATTCTACTAATATTTGCTTGATCATAGAAACATAGAAACAGAGCAAGCAGAAGGGCACTCCCTGGCCATCTAGTCTGACCCCCGGCTTCAGCCGGCTCCGCTCACGATCATGAGCCTCTTAGCCCAATGGAGGGCTCTGATAAGCCAGGGTCCTCAATTGCAATGAGCATTTTACTTGTATGTGAAGAGCACGAGTAGAACTCAGCTCCAGAGCATGAGGATTTGAGGGTACAAAGCTAGCACAATAGAAACACTGGTGTGTGTGAAGCAGTCTGTATAATCTCACCATCCTACACACTTTGAGCTCTCCCATGTTCTAATAATATCTGTGCTTTACTTCAGGGTGTGGCTGTTTCCACTTGCCTTGCCCCATGGCACCCATAGAAGTTGCCATCAGAAAGAACATGCATGCAATATCTTTCTGCTCCTTTAAACATGGTTCAAAATGTTTTGGTGTCAGCAGAGTTTAATGTCATAAGCCTTGGGATAACGCTTTAATAGGGACACTTGCTTAGGGAGAAGGTTTTTCTGTCTTGTCTCTCCTAGTGCTTTGCTGTCTAGAAATATATGAGGGTGCCATTTCTAAGCTTAAGGAGATGGAACCCTGATGAGAAGAGGGTCTCCTTTTGTTTCCTGTGGCTGTGCTGTCTGAAGTGCCCAGTGGTTATTTTTCTTCTTTTGCTGCTAGTTTGATGCAGACAAGCCATTTCAGCATTAGGACTCTTAAGATGAGATTTTGCATGAATTGCTTGCTGTGAGTCTAATGTCAATAGTGTTGGCACTGGATATTGTTAAGTGATCTACAGGTGGGTTTTATGGTCACTTAAACTTTGGATTGGTTTTAAACGAAATCAGATTGTTGTATTGTGAGCTGATCCAGACTTACTTAAAGTAGACCCATTAGTTACAACTAAGTATGATTATGTTTGGATCTATGTCAATGTAATGTTGCAATGTAGCCTTCTGGATAATGCATTTAAACCACGTATTCTGTGACCTACTTTGACCACAATGTATTTCTGGAAAATGCTGAATATAATAAATTGACTATAGTGTTGACTATTTTGCTGTTTTAGCCATTTCCATATCAAACCCAATAACCTGGACAATATAAAAATGCTTCCATGCTTTCAGTTTTAGAAATTTGCTTTTGTAAAATTCAGTCAAATTTCATGAATGACATGCACAAAATGACAGCAATCTGTCACATTCCCACAATTCCCCCTGGGCTGATTCAAGTAGTTATTTATGAACCTGAGATGCCAACAGTCACTTTGATGACTACACCATAAATTAGTACGTAAAGGGAATAAAAATTGATTTCATAGAACCAACAAATTGCCAGGCAGCTGGGGTATTATTTAATTTCTATTGACATGTCATGGAAAAAGCAGTCAGCAAATGGAGATGTGCTACATCTTAATAAAGCACCAAACTGCAGAACACATCTAATATTCAATTTGCTCTAATAGTTGGTTTTAAATCTCTGCACATAATACATATTTTCAGTTTAAGATTTCAGAAAGCCTCAGCTGATAATACACTTCACTATTCAGGTATATACAAACATAAAAACATTGGAGGGGACATTTGGTGGAAGACCTGCTTTGCATGCTGAAGGCCCAGTACAAATCCTCCAGGAAAGGTGGGAAAAAAATCTTGTGAGAAATCCTTGAGAGCTGCTGCCAGTCAGTGTGAACAATGCTGGGCTAGATAGACCAAATGTCTGACTTGGTAAAAGGGAATTTTCTATACCTCTAAATCTGCTCCTACAAATACACAACCATGTGCAACTAATAGAAAAGTGTCAACATAGGCTCAACCATCACAAAGAAGTTTATTTTTATGCTTGTTAACAAGTATACTTTATGACTATTAGGGTTTTTGTTTGTTTGTTATGTATATCTTCCTTTAGAAATGAAAAATATAAAGCTTAAATGCCATCTGTTACATAAGAGCCATTTCTATGCAGTCTAGAATCTTCTTTGACACTTGACACTCCCCTCATAGCCACAATATCTATTTTGTAATTTTCACTTAGCAAAGTAAGCTCACATTGTGATACTAAAAACACTATTTTGGAGTCTGTTGCCATGTAGCTCTGTTTCTCCTTTTCATCATATGTAGGTGGCGCAGTGAATGTGCTACACTGGGGCCTCACCGTACCAATGGGCTGGATGAGACTGATGAAAGCTGACTGATGAGGGCTAACAAACTAAAGTTGGATCCAGTCAAGACTGAGATGCTGCTGTTGGGTGATTCTTTGATCAGATGGAAGTGTTCAACCTGTTCTGGATCAGCCTCCACTACCCTTGAAGAAGCAGGTTCGTAGCCTGGTCTTTCTGGAGCCATTTTTGCCACTTGAAGCTGCAGTGGCCTCAGTGGCACAGAGTGCTTTCTACCAGGTTTGACTGGTGACCCAGCCATGCCCCTATTTGCACAGGGATAGCCTGGTTTCAAAAATCTGTGCTTTGGTAATCATTAAGCATGGCTACTGCAATGTGCTCTGCCTGGAACTGCCCTTGTATGTTCAAAAGCTGCAAGTTGTGCAAAATGCAGCAGCCAGAATGATAACTGGAACCAGAATGCCTGAGCACATGCAATCTGTTCTGGCCCACCTACACTGGCTGCGTATATACTTCTGAGCCATATTCAAGGTGCTGGCTTTACCTATAAAGCTCTACCTGGCTTGCAGCTGCAATACTTGATAGAATGCCTCTCCCTGCCCAGACACAATGATGAAATTCTGGGCTGCTCCTCCAAATGCCACTCTAAGGGAGGCAGAGTTTGCAGCAACAAGGAGAAGGACCTTCTCTGTGGTATCCAACACCTTATGGAATTATAAGTGACACTGAAGCTCACTTAGCACCTACTTGACTGTCCTTCTGGCTCCTCACTGCTCACTTGTGCAGGCATTTAATAGCTTGAAATAGCCGGGGAGTGGGAGGCGGCAGAGTTGTGAACTGTTTCGGAAGACCAAGCTGTTCGAACCTGGCTTAACTGTTCAAGTTGTTACAATTTGGTTTACATTTTTAGTGAAATTTATGATGCTTTTACAATTATTTGTATTTCATATTGTATTGCACTGCTACTTATTACATTGCCCAGAGTGCCTGGACTATTGGGCAGAACAGACATAAAACTGAATAATAATAATAATAATAATAATAATAATAATAATAATAATAATAGAGAAAAGCAGTTTGATCAATCACAATAGGACTTAGTTCTGGAAAAGGGCATAGGAGTGCTTTCTTAGTGCTCAAAAAAAATCTTGCCACTCATCATGTGCTTTTATTTTTGATGCAAGAACAAATTTAATACAATAAACACTCATACACTTAGAGTGTTTTAATTGTTAACATAAGGATTTTGTTAGTTTCTTGAATGCCTTATTCTAAGAAAAACAACCATGATGAAAATTCAAGTAAGCATATGTAAAGTGAAATACTTTAGCTTCTTTTTGTATACAAACTCAATGGGTGACATCTAGCAGACTTTTATTTGTGTGACAGAAGCTTCCTTTTCTCTCCACCCCATGCAGCCCCAAATTCAAACTTGTTAGGGTTGGATACAACCAAATGAAGCACACTGGCTTGGAAACAACTTCCATGAGCAATCTTGAATTGGACAAGATTGTGTGATTATCAATAAAAAAAGACAACTTTCTTTTTAACAAGGGCAGTCCCACAATTCCTGGGATTTGTGAGATGGGTACAGAAACCATGCTATTCTATTTACTGGCAACAGTTCAGAGGTAAGTTTCCAATGAAAAGATCTTACAGTAGTGCTAGGAAAACCTCTGTAGAACATCATGGAGGGCCAGTGCCCATTGGAATGGGAAACTGGACTTAGTATAAGGCAGCTTCATATGTTCAAAGACCACAAAGAAAGAAAATCACTCTTCTATGTCTACACACACATACACACTTTTAAAGTCCAAAAGTGTCTACAGTTCCATCAACCTTACATGAAACTGCATATATTTCACTAAATGCATATAGAGAGACATAACAGAGTGGAAGAGAACACATTGCATTTGAAATCTAATGGAATTGCTAAGAAAATCACACTTACCTGCCGCCGTATCATTTCCAGATTAGATTTTGCTTTGTTCATTAGTGTTTCTATTTCTGCAGTATCCTTGACACTTTTGTTGTCCCTGAATGCATCTCTTATTCTTCTGATGGCATATGTCCTAAGCAAAATTTTGAGGAAAGAATTAGTGTCCACTGTCCTGAACATTTGAAACACAACCTGTAATTGACTGTATTAATGCAGAGCATTGAGATTTTAAGGAAAGAAAGCCAACTTACTTGGCATGAATATTACTTAGCATTTATATTGGTATATAAATATATAATGCACTGCACTTCTCACTTCAGATATCATTATATATTATACAGCACTTCTGAGTGCCCATCCCTAACCTGGTGTGCTCCTATAATTCCTAGCATTTCCTATCACTATCAATGCTGGCTGAAGCTAATGAGGGTTCAAGTCCAAAACATCTGGAAGGTGAGAGCTGGGAATGGCTAGTTTAGATTTTTTCCCCCGGGATGAACATGCACTAAATGCAAAGGAGAAATCTGATCCGACTCTGGCTGTTACATTAAAAGAAATATGCTTAAACAGCCTGTATTTTTAAAGTGTGAGAAACTTCAAATGATTATCTGTGCCAAGGTATTAACATAGAAACAGAGTGAGTCAGAAGGGGTTTCCCGGGCCATCTAGTCTGACCTCTGGCACCAGCTGGCTCCGCTCACGACATGCCCACCATGTGCATGTCCAGCCTATCTTTGAACACTCTCACCGATGGGGCCTCAACGAACTCTCGTGGAAGCCCATTCCACACCTTCGGGGTCCTAATGTCAGGAAGTGCTTCCTGGCATCTAAATGGAACCTTGGTTCCCTGAGCTTTGCTCCGTTGGAGCGCGTCCTGCCTTCCTCTGCAGGGGAGAACAGGTCTCTACCCATCTCCATGTGACATCCCCTCACATACCTGTATGTCGCCAACAGATGCCTCTGAGTCTCCTCTTCTCCAGGCTGAAGAGACCCAGTTCCCTCAGTCTCGCCTCATACCCCATCCCCTGCAAACCGGCCACCAACCCTGTGGCCCTACGCTGCACTGACTCTAACCTGGCTATATCCTTTCTGTAATGAGGGGCCCAAAACTGAGCACAATACTCCAGTTGCAGGCGCACCAGAGTTGTATAGAGTGCTAGTAATACCTCTCTTGATTTAGAAGCCACACTTCTGGCTATGCAACCAAGGGTGGCGTTCACCCTCTTGACCACCACATCACACTGCTGACTCATGTTTAGCCTGCAGTCAGCCAGTAGCCCGAGGTCCCATTCACAAGTGCTGCTCTCCAGCCGCTTGTCACCTAACCTGTACTTATAACACCTATTCCTATGCCCCAAGTGCAAGACCTTGCACTTGCACTTATCCACATTGTATTACATCTCTTTCAGTGGGAGAGCCAAATTCCATTTCAGAAAAGCTCTTGGGGGCTGCATTCCAGTGGAGGGTTGGGCAAAGGAAAAGGGGTGGAATAAAATATTAGTATATTTTAGCTTAAAGCACCTATGGCCTGCATTATGGGAGGCATCTTAACCTTTTAGAATAGAGAAAAAACTGCACAAAAATGAGGAAACTAACACACAATCTGTGGTCTGGGGAAAGGGAATGGTGTCTTTTGGGAAATGCTGAAATGACAGACTGGAACTCCAGGAGGGCCAAAATGGGCCGCACACCTCAGGTTTCATACCCAAGGTTCTATGCCCCCACTGTACTCTTTCCAAAATGGAATGGGGCAAAGACTTTTCTACAGAACAAAAAGCTAATAAATTGCCTTAAAAGATAACAATCACGACTGGTATGCACTGGAAGATAACAACCACTATCTTATACCTCTTTACTGGTTCCACTATACTCAATGAGAGTTGCTACTGAGTAAACATGTATGGAATTGTAATGCAAAGTTGCAATCTTAAATCTGATGAGATTCACAGGCCTTACTTCTGCATGGACATTTCAACACTGCATTACAAGAGTACAAAATCATTACTAAATGCAAACATTGCAAATGTAAGGGAAATGTTAAAAAAGGTATAGGATTTGACAGCTTGATCCAAAGACCCAGATTATGACTATAGGAAATACTTCATACAGAACTGCAGAATCAGAATGCTTCAGCCTTGAATAGATAATTTTACAATTGGACTGCCTTTGTTCAAATAGATACAGCAAACAAGCAAAAGCATCTTAATTAAAAATATGTGTTTGAACAAGTGTTACTTTGGATTTAAAAAAAACAAAATATGGATTATAGTTATGGTAGATGCATTCAAGCCAGTGGGACAGAGGTTAGTTATGATTCCACCCATTGGATATTATATAAAGCTTGTTCTTTATTATCAAGACACACAAAGTCCTGAAAATTTTTGAGTGTGCCCATAATAGATATTGAAAGAAGTTAGTGATTAAATGAAAGGGTTTTGAGACTAAGGATCCATGCACTAGAAGTAAAAGCTCTGGACTGCTGAGTTGAAAGTGTAAGAACATGGACTACAATCTAGCCCACTCTTGGTTTAGTGCTTGAATGTGGAAGATACTAGCAGTTGCAATGAGAGAGTGGGGGAACTTGATCAGTACATAGGAGGTATGCACATTCTTACTAATGGGCTGCTGTTCTACTTGTGTAGATGCGTATAAGGAAACGAAAGAACAGTCTCTGTTTCTATTTTGGATATCACCTGGGCATGGATGCTGTGCTCACAGTGGAATGGATCATGCTCTTGGTGATTAAGTGCAGCTTTGGAAATTCATTTCCTAACCTTAATCATAGTGGTACTTTGTCTCTGTAAGAAGCCCTCATATACAGTCTCTTGCTTTTCATTTTGATTTGCACTTCAGCTGTGTTATCTTACATTTTGGAACACACTCCAGCACCACCTGCTGCATCCAGATGCCAAAAGCAAGAAAGAAAAAAAAGCAATTCGAAGGCTGATGGGAGCAAGATAACTTCCCAAAGCAAATAATAAATGTTTTCATTTAAGTTTCAGAAGTTGTTGCTTAGCAGAGGGTCTGCAGTGGCTCTACAGCTCTTACGACAACAGTGTTCTTCATGCCACTGACTCAAACATCAGTTCTGCTTAGTCACTTCATAGTGTTACATCACATACTTCTGATTTTCAGATCAACTGTATTATGTACCCCATTTAAAAATCTCTCTAAATCTGTCACAAAAGACTCATTGCTAGCAACAGCACAGTGTTACAGCTACAGGTCATATATCAACATCTCCAACAGTCCAAAAACAATGCCAGTTCCATTCTGGCTGTGTTGTAAAAACAGTACAAAGCACACAGTATTTCCCTCCCACAGGGCATGTCTTCACACAGCATATGAGTGAAGCTTTAAAAAGTACTGTAACCTTCATACATTTCCAGATGGTGTCAGCCCATCATGTCTGGTCTCTGGAGATCTGCAGTGGAAAACTAAGGTTGGGGGCTAAACTACATTAACAATCTTCTGGGTTCATGGGCACATTTGGGATTTTGAGAAGGTATGTGTGCACTTTCACAAAACTGCTGCCGTGTTGACGGAGCTTGCCTATTTATTAAATGGCAGCCATGGTAGAAATGGCTGGTCACAGAATCACTCATTTTTCCAGAAGGCAAATTGGTGACTTAAAAGAAAAGTAACATGCCTGAGAATTGAATTGCAATTCAGAGGTGGAGATTGAACTTCAAATCAGAAACTATTCCTTTGAACCTAGATAAAGATGACAATTGTGGTGCTGGAGGAGACTCCTGCGAGTCCCTTGGACTGCAAGGCGATCAAACCAGTCAGTCCTAGAGGAGATCAACCCTGACTGCTCTTTAGAAGGCCAGATACTGAAGATGAAACTCCAATACTTTGGCCACCTAATGAGAAGGAAGGACTCCCTGGAGAAGAGCCTAATGCTGGGAACAACTGATGGCAAAAGAAGAAGGGGAGGGCAGAGGATGAGGTGGCTGGATGGGGTCACTGAGGCAGTTGGTGTGAGCTTAGGTGGACTCCAGGAGATGGTGGAGGACAGGAAGGCCTGGAGGAGTGTTGTCCATGGTGTCGCGATGGGTCAGACATGACTTCGCGACTAACAACAACAACAACAAAGATGACACTAGAAGGCAGTCCTTCACTTTGCTTTATGGCAGCCTCCCAGGTAAAGTATTGATAATAATTCTTTAAAATTTTAAGAAATAAAACAAAAATCAGAAGGGACAGGAGTCCTAATGGGTACTACAAATAAGTTTTTATGGGCACCACTCTAGAGACCTTACACCTTACATAGACTTTGTATGTAAAATCGGTGCAATTACATAGCATGTTCCAGTGGATGTAAGTAATCTTGACAATGTAGAAACACAGGAAGCTGCCATATACTACTAATCAGAACTTTGGTCCATTTCACTCAATACTGGCCACACTGGCTGACAGCAGCTTTCCAGTGGTTCAGGTGTCTTTGCCCACACATTCTGCCTTGCTAGCTAAGTTCCTCTGGGGGCAATCATCTGAAGTCTGCTCCTGTAAGATTAATGTCAACTACCCAGAAGGCTTTTTCGATGGTTGCCCCTAAGCTGTGGAATGGTCTGCAGAGAAAAATGCATCTGATTTCCCCAAATTTCCACCTTTAAGAGGGAGTCAAAAGTGTATCTCTTCTGACAGGCCTTCCTAGATTAGTAGTCATGTCAGTTTTCACAGAATCAGGGAATAGCAGAATTGGAAGGGGCCAAGAAGGCCATCGGATTCAATCCCCTGCTGTTGCAGGACCCCAATTTATACCATCCCACACAGATGATTGTCCAGTTTCTTTTTGAATGTCTCTAGTGTGGGGGAGCACATGACCTCTCTAGGTAACTGGTTCCACTGTTGTGTTGCTTGGACAAAGCCTGAACCTGAGTTTTGCAACTTGATCTGAATATTCTATGTCCTACTCTCTGATAGTGAGAGAGAAGAGATCTTGACCTTCCTCTTTGTGACAGCCTTTGAGGTATGTATAGAGCAATATCATTCCCCCCCGCCCCCGTCTTCTCTTCTCAAGGCTGAAAATATCCAGTTCTCTGAGTATCCCCTCATAGGGCAGTGTTTCCAAACTCTGGATCATTTTTTTTTGCCCTTCTCTGGACCCTTTCTATTTTTTCTGCTTTTTTCTTAAACCTTGGTGCTCAGAACTAAACACATTATTCTAGCTGAGGTCTGACTAGTGAAGAATATAGGGGAACTATTACTTCTCATGATTTGAAAGTAATACTTCTATTAATGCATTCCAAAATAGCATTTGCTTTTTTCACAGCTGCATCACATTTTTGGCTAATATTTAGCCCGCTGTCCACAATAACTCCAAGGTCTTTTTCTGTCAGCTGTTGCACTGCCAAATCTTACATGGCTTGGCAGTGTAACAGCTGACAGGGCACCTTTTCTCACCTGAATCTCCCTAGAGACTACAACCAATATCTGAAGCTTTCCCCTGACTGCCACCTCCAAAGGAGCTTAAAGAGCTGCAAAAACGGAGAAGGGTTTCTCTGTGGTGGCTGTCTAATCATGGAATGATCTCCTCATTGAAGCAGGCACACCTATGAGCAATGTTGTCATCTTTTTGGTGCCAGGTGAAGTCCACCCTCTGCTCCCAGGCATTTAATGGCATATGATCCTGCATTTATGTCAACTGCCTTTTAACATGTCTGGTATTGTTTGTGAAATTATTTTACCAGCTTAACAGAGAGTAATCCTATGGCCATTAAACAGCATCTAGATGGCATAGGATTGCTCAGATTCCCAGCAATAATGCTACCAAAGTGCTCTGACCTTGGAGCTGAGAATCAGAGCTCAGATCCCCTTTTCTTTCTACTTGCATAGATGGGGTGAAAAAAAAACTGTATTAACTGCTTCCCCAAGGTTCCAAAGTGAACTTGGAAAAGGGGTTTTAATGGCTGCTTTGGTGTGAAAGACCAGCCATGACACAACATATTCTTATTTTGTTTTAGCATTGTAAGCTACCCAGAGAACCTTCAGGTCATAAGGTGGCATAGAAATGGAAATAAATAAATAAATAAATAAATAAATATCCAGCTAGCACCTTGGTCTTCTTCCCCCCTGCTCTGATGTGTCATATGGCTGAAATAGACTATCTATTTTCCAAAGTAGAAGAAGCAAAGTGACCTTCAGCCCTGTGCCTCTACTCTGCAGAGGCAGTCCATAATCATCTAAGTGTGGAAGGTTATGGGCATGCCCATAGGATTGTGACCTACATTGCTTTAAATTATGCATTTTGATATTTTATGTTGTACTTTATTATCTTTATTTGTGGTTGTAATGCTATGAAGTGTTGTATATTGCCCAGAGAGGTTCAGCTATTGGGAAGTGTACAGTAGAAATGACACAAACAACAATAAGAGGAACAAGGAGCATTGGAAAAACAAAAGACGGTTACAGGGACGCTCAGTAAAATTCCATGAATGAGGCAAGCTGATTGCATGAAATAAATCTGTGAATGAGGCAAAGCAGCTCCAGGGAGAAAAAGGCCTTGTCAGAAAGATTCTCAGACTTCTCATATCCAAGATATTCTACCATGGGCATATATTTTCAGAGATGTATATTTGCTATTATTGTAAGGGCATAATAGTTTACACACTTCCCTGAAGATGTTCCATTGAATATAGCATACTTTTATGAGAAGTGAGTTGCTTTGAAAAGGAAGCTTACTATCCAGTGCACCATATAGAACAATCATCTGTTTATTCTTAAGAAATGATTTTTAAATGCAGATTAAACATTTTATTGGTAGGTGTCAAGCTATATTTACACCATTTTAAAGAAAGATTATGGGGAACCCCCTTTAAACTAGGGGTGGAGAACCTACAGCCTGCCAGAAGTTTTGATCTGCTATTCCCATTACCTGTCAACCACTGGAGGGCTATGTTAGCAGGGGCTGATGGATACTGTAGGGCAAAACATCTGGCAGATTAAGTTACCCACTCAAGCTTAAAATATCTTTTCCAATACATTTACAGGACTGAAATATATCAAAAGGCAACTTTCTGTGAATTTACGTCTGAGATATACTCCAGGGTCATGGGTTTCTATCCTACTTCTCTAAGTAAATAATGCCCAATAAACTATGTAAAGTTAAGCAAACTTAAGCACACTAGAGAAGATGAGAAATGCAAACCTAGAGTGTGTGTATGTATGAGAAACTTCCCTGCAAAATGTAAAAACAAAACCATTCTCTTTAAATAAGAGTTCACTGCCATCACGAGAAGAAAGACGGAATAGCCACTACAAACCCACAGAAGCTTATGCCGGAATAAAGACCCGCGTTAGGCTTTAGGATGTTTTATGCACTGGTCTGGTTGGAAGAAAGCCGCCTTCCACCCTACGCACAGCTTATTCAGGCGTAAGCGTCACCGCACTTTGTCGGACCGACCTCCGGGGAAAAGCCAGGGAGGAAGGGGCTGGAAGCCTTCGGCACGAAGACAAAGCTCCCCTACCTGTACCCGTAGGCCGTGAAGCCCTGGCTCTCCCTCAGCAGGGTACGATACAGCCGCAGCACCTGGGCCCGCCTGGACGCTGCCATATTGTAAACACGCCGCGGGCCTCGCGGCGAGGACCCCGCGCCTTGGCAGCCTTCGCCGGAGCCTGACGCCGGAAGTGCGGGGCGGCGGCGCGGCTTCGCGCGGAAGAGCGAGGCGGGCGCTGCGTGCGGGCTGTGAGGGCGCGGGCAGCGCTGAGCCTCGGTCGGGCCGGCGGCAGCCGCTCTCGGCAAGTGTCAGGCGCGGCTCGGGCAGCTTCGGCGCCCAGCCCCGCCAGCCTGGTCTGGGGAGGAGGCAGGGAAGGTGAGTCTCCAGAGGCTGTCTTGGCGGGCGTGGGGAAGCGGGCAGCGCGCAGGGCGGAGGTCTTGGGCCGTGGAAGTGGGAGCCTAGGTAACGTCTGCGGAGGAGAAATGCTTGCACAGGTGCATCCTTAAAAAGCAAGCAAAACGTAAAGGCCTAATTCTGCCCAGGGAGGAGCTTTCCGGCCGGAGTACCCCAGAGCACCTCACTTAAAACGACAGTTTAGCGAGCTGCGATCCCATGAATTCTGCTTAAAGTACTCGTGCATATCCGAGCACGGTGACTGTCCCCCATCAGAGTTCATAAAGCATAGTAATTCCATGCACAAGTTATGTTTCTCCCACTTCTTAGATGCCGCTGCTGGAAAAGAATAGCCCCCCGCAACTTGCATATCCCTGGCTCTGCGCTGTGCAGACCCGACATTAGACCTGTGCTGAAATTGGAACCAGTCTGGTAATAGCATCCTCCCTTCCTATTAGTATGAACACATGCAGAGTGGGACGCAGGCCAGGGCATGGCCTGTGCAAGAAGCCACTTCTGTGGGTTCATAATACATGGCTGGGAATGCTGTCTGTGGCAAGGTTCCTGACAATGCGTGGAGTTCCTGCTTTCATAGGTTGTACCTGCATCGAACATGTAGTTGATCATGAGAAAAAAAAATTAGGCCAGCTCAAGATTGCAAAATAATGTGCAGGCTTTTAAGATCTCAGAGAAGATGTTACAGAAAGGTATTGGGGGGGAGGGGCAATGGTGAACATACAAGCTTCATGGTCAGAGGAAGGTGGCTTAGGATGTAATGTGGAAGGAGATTTTTACAGACTTTAAAATTACATTTTACCAAGTGATGCAATGAGCCATCAAGTGTGATTCCAGCACACATGAACAGTCATATCATGTAACTTTTTTCCTGTGTTATCTCCCTCAATTTCCTCAACAAGGTGCCCTCATGATGAAATGCTGGCTGCCTAAAAATTACAGGCCAGGACATTTGGAGGGCATCAGGTTTGGGATGCTAAGATTGCTTGCTCCACAACTCCCCCTCCCCCTCCCCCTCCCCCTCCCCAGCTTGCAGGATCAGAAATAAGTCTTTTTACTTTCTTCAAAACCTGGCTTTACTCTTAGATGAAAATGACGAGTTAGTGGGCATGATCACTTCCAGTTTCTAACTCCCCCCCGCCCCATTGTCTCTTCCCCTTCCTCTCTTGTCTCACATTGGGCTCCCTGAAGAGGGATAGATGTCTGAACAGATTTGTTGCAGAAGGTTTTTGAAATTTGTCCAAGGCTGCTTGTGGTTGTTTGGCTGCCGCCTGCCCGCTCCTAATCAAGAGGCAGAAACTATATATTTTTCCCATGTATGGATTCCATGGATTGGGTGAAGCTTTCAAGACCTGTATTTGAAACTAAACTGTCAGACCGGCTTGACCAGAGTATATTTTGTACATATACCATCTGTGTGCAAATATACATATTATTATCATTTCCTTTTATAAAAACTTAAAGTTATTTAACTTTTTATTTAAACATTTTGCAGTTTAACATTTAATAACACTTGATTAAAAGTATGAATGTGAGTACAGTACTTGAGTTTACACTGCATAGTAATTTTCCCTCATTGGGGAATTGTATACAAAAATAATTATTTTATGCCAGCATTTTGTTAAGGAAAAATTTTGAACTCAATCTGTTCATATTATTTTAGGGGTTTTTTTCTTGAAACATTAACATTATTTTGTTAAAAGAAACATTATCCAGAATAGAACAAACTTATATAACAAAGCGGTGTTTCTGTACATTTCTATAGAAAAATCATTGTTGTACCCCATTCTTCTTTTGGAATTGCTACAAAAATAAATATTAATTTTCCACTCTGTTGCATGTTTCTCTTTTTCTTTTTCTGCTTCCATTGCCTGTTAGAGATACTTCGCATTTACTGCAACCAACATTACCAACTGCTTCTTACACACTGGTAAACTGCTGGGCATGCATGCTTAAATTCAGGTAAGTGTGCATGTTCTCAACAAGAATTTTGTATGGTTAACCAGTATAAGCATAGACTTCTATATTTTTGTGGTCTATCTAGTCCTGGTAGCTTTTCTATAGAGGCAAGTCATATAAACCAGATTTCCATTAATGTGTGTGTGTTGGCTTGGCAACATCTTAACTGACGTATCGGGGGGGGGGGGTTGCCAGGGATGTCTTCACCTTCCACTGAGCTTAATGTGGTGCAGTGTCTTGTTTTTATTGCCAGTACATCGTTGGCATATAGCTAATGAGACCTTTATGCAGGGAGGTTTATTCTTCCTTATTTGCTAGACTGGTAATATTATTTTTTCAGAATGTTCTAAGTGAAAACCTTTTCATCCTTAATTTTGTGTATTATTTCTAAAAAGAATGGGTAGACCTTGGTTCACTGACTCTAGATTAACAGATAAAGACACAGAGATATAAATCTCCTGTTGATGGTCAGTCCAATATGGCCTGTTTTAATATGTTCATGTAATGGAATTCTATGCAAGTTTACTCAGAGGTAATTCTCCTAGAGTTAAATGGGGGCTACTTGCTAGTTGTTATATTTAGATTTGAAGATGTATTTATTGTCCTCTTATTGTTCCTATTTCCTCTCTTGTCTTCCTGAAGGAGAGGAAGGGATAGATCGGTGGAGGAAGAAGGCTGATAGAGTTGGAACGGGTAGTAGAGTTTGTGCCACAAGACACAATAGGTTACAGGATACTGAAAGATGTAGAAATGCCAATATTCATTCATTCAATCAATTTATATACTGCATTAAATTAGCCTGAGGACTCTTAAGTGGATTACAAAAGTACAAGAAAACAACATCTGATAAAAAACATATAACAATCAACAAAATGCCACTGAGGGATCAGATACAAGTAGATTAAAACAATACTATTAAAATCACACAGTATAAAACATTTTTAAATCAATTATTAAAATGTTTGGAGAATAGAATCATTTTTGCTTGGTGCTGAAAAAACTGTAAAGATGGTGTCAGGCAAACTGCTCTTGGAAGGCCATTCCACAAATGGAGCACAACTACTGAGAAGGTCCCCTCTACTATTTGCCATTCTCCTTACCTCCTTGGAAGATGGTTCTCCTAGAAGGGTGCTCACACCAGATCTCAGGGACTGGGTAGGTACATATGGGAATAATGGTCTTTCAGGTATCCTGGCCTCAAACCATTTAGAACTTTATATGTTAGCACAAGTGCCTTAAATTGTGCCCAGAGCTCAACTGGTAATCAGTGCAACTGTTATAATATCAGGGTCATATGGGCATGCAGGCCTGCTTGTGCCAGCAGTTTCATCACCCTATTTTGCAGACCATCTTCAAGGGCAGTCCCACATAGGCATGTTACAGTTGTCAAGTGGAGAGGTTACTGGACTGGCTAGGCTCTGCCTGTATAGATAGGGTCATAGTTGGTAAATTAAATGTAGCCAAAAGAAGATGCTTCTGGCCATGAAGTCTACCTGAGACTCGAGTGATAATTTTAGATCTAGGAGCACCCTCAAGCTACAAACCCTGTCCTTCATGAAGAGAGTTACCCCATCTATGACAGGTTGAAGCCCACTCTCTGGGCATCCACCAGCAGTACCTCCATCTTATCTGGACTGAGCTTCAGTTTGTCAATTTATCAGTTAAACTGAGACAATTTATTATTTATTATTTATTTATTAAAACATTTTATGCCGCCCCATTCGCCGACGCCTCGGGGCGGCTTACAACAAAAAATTAAAATAACATTTTAAAATATATACAGTAAAATACAAATATATAATATAAACATACAATATAAAACAAGCCGCCCTGGCCAAATAAAATTCAATAATATTAACATTTAAAATACTGCTTAAATAAAAAGGTCTTCGCCTGGCGCCGAAAAACAAATAACGACGGTGCCAGGCGGACCTTTCTGGGGAGCGCATTCCATAACTTAGGCGCCACCGCTGAGAAAGCCCTCCTCCGAGTAACCACCCTCCTAACTTCTTCCACAGAGGGTTCCCGGAGAAGGGCCTCTCCCGCCGATCTCAGGGGGCGGCTGGGCATATAAGGATGTAAGCGCTCCTTCAGGTAACCAGGACCCAAGCCGTTTAGGGCTTTATAGGTCATTACCAACACCTTGAATTGGGCCCGGACTTCAATGGGAAGCCAGTGAAGCTGATGGAGAACTGGAGTCATGTGAACATAACATCCAGTCCCTGTCAGCAGCCTGGCAGCTCTGTTTTGGACCAATTGAAGTATCCGGACCGTCTTCAAGGGTAGCCCCACGTAGAGCGCGTTACAGAAGTCCAGATGGGAAGTCACCAACGCATGTGTCACTGTCGTAAGGCAGTCGTTCTCCAGATAGGGGCGCAGCTGATGAATCAGCCGAAGCTGGAGGAAAGCGCTCCTCGCCACTGCTGTTACCTGAGCTTCCAGTGAAAGCTCCGGGTCGAGGAGCACTCCCAAGCTGCGGACCTTGTCCCTAAGAGGGAGTGCAACCCCGTTCAGGACAAGGTTCAATTCACCCTCTCCGAAGCCCGATCCACCAACCAACAGGACCTCCGTCTTGTCTGGATTGAGCTTCAGTTTATTGGCCCTCATCCAGCCCATAACCTCGGCCAGGCACCGGTTCAGCACAGCCACTGCCTCACCTGGATTGGTGGAAAAAGAGAGGTAGAGCTGGGTATCATCAGCGTATTGATGGTTCCGCAGCCCACACCTCCTGATGACCTCTCCCAGCGGTTTCATGTATATGTTGAACAGCAAAGGGGACAAAATGGACCCCTGCGGTACTCCATGGCATAGCTGCCATGGCGCAGAGCCATAGTCCCCCAGCACCACCTTCTGGAACCGGCCATTGAGATAGGAGCGGAACCACTGCAAAGCAGTGCCTCCGACCCCCAGTCCCGCAAGCCTATCCAGAAGGATACCATGGTCGATGGTATCGAAAGCCACTGAGAGGTCCAGAAGAACCAACAGGGACGCACTCCCCCTGTCCTTCTCCCTGCACAGGTCATCGTACAGGGCGACCAAGGCAGATTCAGTACCGTACCCAGGTCTGAAGCTGGACTGCAAAGGGTCCAGATAATCAGTTTCATCCAAGAGTGCTTGGAGTTGTCCCGCCACCACTCGTTCTAACACCTTGCCCAGAAACGGGATGTTGGCCACTGGTCTATAATTAGTGGCCATCTCTGGATCCAGTGACGCCTTCTTCAGGACCGGTCGGACTACCGCCTCCTTTAAAGGGGCAGGCACCCGACCCTCCCTCAGAGAAGCGTTAACCACTTCCAAGATCCAGGTTCCAATCCCGTGCTTGGAATCATTTATTAACCAAGACGGGCAAGGGTCCAAAAGGCAAGTGGTTGGACGTACTCGCCCAAGCACCTTGTCCACGTCATCGGGCCGCAGTAACTGAAATTCATCCAATAAATCTGGACCAGACGGCAGCGTTGGTGTCTCCTTTGAAAATGGACTCATTTAATGGACTCATCCAGTCTATTATCAAGCTCAGGCGGTGATTTGGGGTGGAAACTGCCTCACCTGAGTTAGATGAAAATGAGCTGTAGAACTGGGTGTCATCATCATACTGATGATGCCTCAGGCCCCACCCCCAAATGACCTCTTCCAGCAGTTTCAAGTAGATATTAAACAGCATGGGTGCAGTATAGAGCCCTGAGGAATCCCAGTTATGGGACACAGCAGCTGTCCCCCAGCGCTAGGTAGGAGTGGAACCACTGCAATGCAGTACCCCCCACTCCCAACCCATTCAGCCAGTCCAGAAGGACATCATGGTTGCTGGTGTCAAAGCCTGCTGAGAGGTCCAGGTTCCCCCTGTTCCTCTCCTGGCAAAGGTCATCCCGCAGGGCAACCAAGGCAGTCTCCATCCCAAACCTCAGCCTAAAGCTCAATTGAAATTGATCTATATAATCCACTTCATCCAAGAGTAATTGAAGCTGCTCACCCACTACCCGCTTGAGCAGCTTGCCCAGAAATGGAATGTTTCAACTGTCCCATAATCTTCAATGACCCCTGGATCAAGGTTTGGTTTTTTTTAAGCAGTGGTCTTATCACAGCCTCCTTCAAAGAGGCTGGGACCACTCCCTCTCTCAACAACGCTTTGAAGACTTTGTGGACCCAGGTGTGTACCCCTTCACTAGATCTCTTGATGAGCCAAGATGGGTAAGTGTTGAGTAAACAAGTGGTGGCACAGACAGAACCAAGTACCTTGCCTGCATCATCAGGCTGCAATAAGTGAAACTCATCCATCAAAGCTGGATAAGATGGTACTCTGGACACCTCTCTAAGTGAGACCAGATCAGTTTTAGAGTCCCACTCATTGCATGTCTGAGCAACTTTGTCTTCAAAGTGAGAAACAAATTCATCACAACAAACCACCAAGGAACAATGAAACACCGAGGAACCACATAAGTTGAGGATTAGAAGAAACAAGGCCAAGGGAAAGAAGGAATAACAAAGTCTGCTGGGACTAGCAAAGGGAGCCAGAAGCTGTCTTTTAACTCACCAAGAGTTCATCTTTCTGTACTTCAGCCTTCTTCAGCCTGATGCTTTCCAGATGTTATGAACAATGGGCAGTATCCAGTATAGCTGCTGCACTCCCAGTTGATCTGTTGCCCTGGTGGCACTCGCTATTTGTGCAACACAAAGTTTGTGTTTCAAACAGCAAATTTGAAAATGAATGGAAATGCTTGTTTCTGGATTGGGACAGGTCATGGAGCTTGCTTCTGCAAGCTTCGATTACCTGTCCCATTTCCACTTGTTTCTGGTGCTTTGTAAAGTGCTGTCTCCCTATTTTATGTACATGGGCTGGCTTGGGTTCTGCCTATAATTCATAGCATAAATCTTAACTATTGGTCTTGCTGTCTGGTGCTGATGGGAGTTGAAGTCCAAAACATCCAGAGGCATCAGGCTAGGGAAAGCTGTTATGCATATTTCTGTCACTGATGGAATTGAATAGTCTTAGTGTAATGCAAATTTGG